ATTGAGAAACGAGTTCAGATTCAAGCTTCTATGGGAAGCTCACATAACTAGAATGGCATTGCTGGTTAGAATACCTTCGGGTTATCTTATTAGTCACCATCATGGTGGCAAAAAATGATTGATAAAAAGGGATAGCATTTAATTATGCTTTACGAGTATTTTCAAGAGTTCTTCGAAAATAGTAAACGACTTTCTCATGGCTAAACCCAAGAGGCTATGGCAGAGAACCTGTGAAATGCCCTCTTTCAACGAGTGGGAGTCAAAAAAAATACCACAGCATCAAGTAGGGCTCTTTCTGCGACAATTTAAATCACTTACAGCTCACACCAATATTAGTGAATAGTCATAAGGAAAACAAAAATACAAGAATCATGCATATAAATTCACCCTAAAAGTCAAAAAGTGTCTGAAACAGAGAAAACAATAGTTCATAAAAACATTTTCCATACCAAACTACAACAATGATCACATGATTTAGTGTCAATTAAACATACAGGAGCATATTCAATTAAAAATTAAGATAATCATGTAACATATTCATACTTCACGGACGTGGCGGGGATAATAACATTTGCACAACGGTTTTCCAAACACAATTCAAATTGTTATTTACAATTGTGGCATTGACACGATGATCTGGGTTAGGGATGGAAAATTCATATTTGTTTTCGCTCAGCACACAATAAATTAGCAACAAATATTTATAATGTACATTCACATAAAGCTAGTTAAGAAAGCAAATATTTATATATAAGGACACTAACCGGTAACAAGCAACAATCCAGAAGCAAGCTGCTTCAAGAAAACAACACGCTTCCCCTTAAATCTTCCAGTCAATATGATCAACACTGTCCCTGGAGTAATGCTTGCCCTATACCCAAGAAACATTAAAAAATAAAATTATTGCAAACTATAAAAAATTACAAGTTATATCTCAATTGAAACAGAAGCAAAACAAAATAATAAAATAAAGGAATCTAAACAGTAGAAAGCATAACCCAAATGGGCCAAATCTCAAATGAAACATGAAAACAAAAATAAGCAAATCTGAATAGTACCTAAGTTTTGTGGGCTTGTGCTTGCGCTTGTTGGAAAGCGGCTTCTTGACTTCATCAGCAGGGTAGAATTTGGGAGCCTTCTCGGCGGCTGGCTCAGCAGCTACAGATTTCTTTTCGTGGGTTGGGAATTTGCCTCCGTTCTTGGCCTTGATAGCCCAGAGTCCCCTCTTGTGGTACATCTGAGAACGTGAGTACTTTCGGACCCCACGGATCAATTCCGGGTTACGTGTCACTCTCTGTGTCTTGGGCGCCATTGGAGATGAACTGTGTGTGGTGTGTGACTTGTGAAGCGAGGCGAGAGGAGAGTAAACAAGTAAAAACCTAAATGCAGGGAGATATAGACGTGTTGTTAAACCCTAGTTTGATTATGGTCCTGGACTTTAATTTATTGGGCCTGGGAAATGAGAAAATTCGGTTATATGGGCTTGTGTGTTCAAATGACACAAATGGCCCATTATAGTTTTGGAATTAAATTGTGGGACAATTACTGAGAACCCTTCAACTCGAGTTTATATTTCAAAAATAGGAGAAATTAATTTTAGTTTCACTAATCAGGTGGTAAATAAGATTAAATAAAATTATGAAATTAAATTAATATACCTCGACCACACTACACCTTTAATCATTTTCCCCTTCCATCTCTACAAAACCCTATCTCTATTATCCATTCTCTCTCTACAGTCTCCTCAGGCAGCACCTCTCACTCTCTTCCGGCAGCTTATTTCGCAGCCCCATCGCCATAGTTAGAATTGGATTTTTTATCAAAGAACAAGGAGTCGAGATTTTGGGAGCCATCATCTTCGGCCAGTAGAAGATCCAAAACTAAGTCTGCGATCGGATTTTCAGTTTCGACAAGTGGTCTATGTGTTTCATATTGACTTCGGTCTCCAGCCAGTAGAAGATTCAACACTGATAATTTGATCGTAGACTCACCAATGGAGGCGATGGCTATTGCACCCGACTTTACTTGCATCACCACCGCGCTTCATTACTGCGAACGGACTGACCCGCTACTACGTGCAGCTCTTTCCCTCCTTCCACTCCCGTTCTCCATTTGTCTAACCATGAGCAATGCATCTCCATTTTCTCTCTCTCCCTCATTCTACCCACTTTTTATATTTTTGGATCTGTGGTTTGGCTGGGTGGTGTAATGCTGGCGGTGATGGTGGAAGTGCAGGTAGTCCTTTTCTCTAGTCATAGGTGGTTATGTTTGTGGTGTTGGTTGTGGTAGTTAGTTGGTGGATGTTGTGGTTGTGTGAGATTATGATGCTGTGTGAGATACAGATTGTGCAAGTGGTGAAGTGATAGTGTTGGGCACAAGTGGCAATGCTGTTAGGTTGTGTTGGTGGTGTGGTGCAGTACGGTGCGATGCCAATGGTTTCGTAATTGGTATTTGGTAGTACATGTGGTTCTAGTGAGGTGGTGTACGTTTGGTTGCCGATATTGGGAATGGTGGTGAGTGACCAAATCTATCTTCATTGTGACTGCCTATGACTAGATTTGTGTTAACTGTAACTATATGTGACTTGATTACATATAGTCACAAATTAGACTAACAAGATCACAGACAGTCACACTGATGACAAATTTAGCCATGAACACATAAGGTTATAGTTCATATGTTACAGGTCACAATCCACTGTTAAAGTCACAGTTCATTAGTCACATGTTTGAGTTCACAAATCACAGTTATTTCATGTAACTCATAAATCGATATAAACAGGTCACAAATCAATATTAACAGGTCACATGTCGTTTTGTAGAAGTCACAGATCAATTGATAGGTTACATTTTATGTTACAAGTCACGGGTCGAAAATCATATTTTGTTTGTCATAATGTATACAGGTCACAGGTTATTATCCAAAAAAGCAAAAAAGGATTTATGAATTTAATATATTTAATTACAAAAATATTTTTTTGATTAATTATTTCATAACTAAAATTTAATAGTATTTGATTTTTGAAATTTTAAACTTTATTTCTTAATTTTGAAATTGATCATATGCATATTCTTCTCACCTGATTAGGTCACAGATTCAATAGAACTGGTCACAGATCTGATAAAAATGGTCACAGGTCATTGTCAAAAAAAAAGAAAAAAAGGGTAGTTGTCGCAAAAGTAAGCGGTCATCAGAATAGTCGATGGAAAGTTTATCGGAGCCGTCGTCGAAATTGTCGCTGGAGGGGTTGCCGGAATTGTCGCCGGTGCCGGAGCAGTCACCGGAATTGTTGCCAGAGAAGTCGTCGGGGTGGGGTGGGTGGAGAGAGAAAGAGAAGGGTTTGATGTGATGGTGAGTGGGTTGGAGGTGGGTGCGTAGGTAGATTAATTATACTATATTATAATTAAATATTTAAAAAATTTAATTATAACCTGATTTTTGAAAGATTTTTAGAAGTTTTAATTTTGAAATATGATTTTTAAATGCTTAAATTATAATGATAAATTATCAATTGGTAAGAGAGAATTAACTTACAATCCTTTTTTGAATTAATTCAGGCCAGTGTGTGCTGACCATCTCGGGCTCTTACAACTGAGTCTAGCACGTTTCTCTAGTAGGGATATGTTAAATGGAGCTTGACCCGTGATTACAAGTGCTAAATATAGATGATCTAACATATTTTGACACCTTCAAATATATTAATATTCCGTTCAAATGATGTAATCTGAAGACAAGGCATGGTGCATTTATATTTTGATATTGCTATATTATAGCTACTGAGACGAGAATTACATGGGAAAGACCAAAAGATGAAAACGAATAAGATTTAGCCTTTGTTTGTCAACCATTCTCTTACATTTTATCACATTATTTTTTCTAAAGTATTCATTTTCAACTATATATTCTTCATTAAAATAATATTACATATAAATAAATAAAAAATCCTTCTTTTTTAACTACATATTTCAACATCAATCAACATTCCGCACTCCAATTTTTAAAATTAAAGGGCCACAAACAAGGCCTTAATCTTTCGAGAATTATTTGAAAACGGTCTTGTTTCCTCTAGCATAATTTAAAAATTAATATTAGGGAAAATTGTAGTCGAGGTACCAAACCTTTCGTTTATTAGCAGACTTTGCCAAAACCTTTAGTTTGTGCCACCCACAGTTTCATACCTTTCAAAAATATACATCGGGGGTTCAAATGGATAGAAATCGTCCGTTTGACAGTTAGTTGACTAGAAACGTCAAAATTTGACCAATTTTGACCAAATTAAAAAGGGCAAAGTGGTACTTTGCATTTTTTCTTAATATTAATAATTAAAATAATTAATAATAACAATAGAAAAATAAAAACAAAATAAATAAAGATGAAGATGAACAGTATTCCCTTACTTTTCTTTGATAGTTAAAAACTTTCTGACATTACTGTTCCACTTTCGTTTATGATCGATCTTATTAGCAAATCATTTTTATTTGCATTGAAAAAAGTTCACCATTTTCACTATTAAGGATGAAGTCAGGACTTGATCGAGTAGGTAATTATGCAAAAAGTAAAAATAAAAATTCCAAGACTATACCTTAAGTAATAATACATTCTTAAAGAAAAAATAAAGTTGGTAGGATCTCAAGTAATCGTTTCATATGAGAGGCCATAAATTTTCCCAAATCACATTAACCTTTACGCTATTAAATTCATCAACTGTTACCATCTTCACTCGACATTTTTATTTGAGAATCAACTCGCCTAATGATTTTAAAAAATGAAGGAATCGCAAATTATTTACAAAGAGAGGAAAATTCCAAAATCCAATCGAGGCAATCGCCCCCCACAAGAATCCTAATGGTAGAGGTACAATCCCAATGATCAAAATTTCACATAAATTTTTTTCTTTTTCTTTCATTTAGAATATACGTCAAAGCCACGCAAGTAGACCTTGTTAACGACGCATTATTAGGAATGGATTCAATCAGCGGATTCCTCTTGCCTACAGGATTCAAGATGGCCACGCCAGTCCAGCCCTTATTTGCCCCTCATTTTGAATGGTGAGCGAGACGAGTCTTTTTCAGTTTTTTTTTTTTTTTTTTTGAAATTTTATATTTAAACTAGTCATTTACTCGTGCAATGCACGGGCAGAGTTATTTTAAAAGTAATATTAGCGTGTTAAATATGTTGAATTCTCGTGAACTACATCTTCAATTCAATATTTACTCGAACTGAGCAAACTGATGTGAAGAAGTTCGATTGGATCAAAGTAGTAAAATGAAAAATCATAGACAATTGGATGAAGTTAAAATCAAACACACTATATATTAAAAACATTTTTAATACAGAAGCAAATGAATCAGGAGCAATTTAGAAATTTCTTTGTACGCTCATGAGACACAGGTAGATATATACAACATGGTTAGTTGGACATGAGCACGATTTCATAACTACATAACTATAATAGTTCCCAACAAATTATATAACACCTCTAAAAATATAGATTTAGCATTGAACATACCAGGTATACACGTGCAGTGTTTTAGCCATAAGAAATAACTCCATGTGAAATAAGCAAAAGTATTTGTGGTCAATGAAATTAGAGCGCGGTTGTCCAGCAAGCTGATGAAATTTAGTAGTAATAAAAAATAAGAAATACAAAGAAATTGATAGAAACGTAAAATACTGATTCAAATCATCATATTGAAGTGTTTTGAATGGTAAGAAAAAGAGACTACACAATAAGGAGAAACCATCGTCTTTCCTAAATCCTTCCGTACGAGACTTGAAGGAGTCCCAGAGAAAGAAGACTAGGTAGATATATACAACATGGTTAGTTGGACATGAGCACGATTTCATAACTACATAACTATAATAGTTCCCAACAAATTATATAGCACCTCTAAAAATATAGATTTAGCATTGAACATACCAGGTATACATGTGCAGTGTTTTTGCCATAAGAAATAACTCCATGTGAAATAAGTAAAAGTATTTGTGGTCAATGAAATTAGAGCGCGGTTGTCCAGCAAGCCGATGAAATTTAGTAGTAATAAAAAATAAGAAATACAAAGAAATTGATAGAAACGTAAAATACTGATTCAAATCATCATATTGAAGTGTTTTGAATGGTAAGAGAAAGAGACTACACAATAAGGAGAAACCATCGTCTTTCCTAAATCCTTCCGTACGAGACTTGAAGGAGTCCCAGAGAAAGAAGACAAGTGAAAAAAATAGAGACAAAAAGGGAGAATGAATAACCTAACTTGCTATATAAACATACCCGAGGCGTTATTTCTTAGGGTTACATGTCTCTACCATGACTCCATCATCCTATTTGAGAAGAGTTACATAAAGAAAAACTATATATTCGTACATGAATCTAAAAAGTGAAAATAATATTAGCAAATC